ACTCCACTTCTTGCTTGTGGAGCGGTGCCCGTTTTGTTTACATTCACACTGTACTCGAACCGTGCTGGAGTTTTCTTCTACCGGACCAAGACCTAGGTTTTAGACCGGGCCAGAGTTCACCTTTTTGTTCCGAGAGAGAGTTCGATGGAGAGTTCTCACCTCCCCAAACGAACCGGACTTCCTAGGCAAACGGGCTAGAGTTTGGGACAAAAGGGCTGGTGTGAATGCACCCTTAGTTGAGCAAGTTGATAATTGCATCCCCCACTTCAAGATGTGGCTGGAACTGAATGGGATCCTGAAAAGGTTGAAGCTGCTCTAAAATTAGTCTCCAACGTCATCAAGATATGTAACATCAGCACCATGGGCCTGTAGTTCTTGAGGTCACTGGGAAAAATTTTCTTGTCCCAGGAACGGGTCACATTGTTGCACACAACACAGGAACCTTCTGAAGACTCAAGCTCATATTGAAGATGTGATGAAAGACTCCACACAGGTCTTGAGGGTGCCACAGTTAAGGCCCTATTTACACAACATTGTTTTGGAGTGAAACTGTAGCATTGCTGCTGCATTTCAGCTGTTCCTGTACACAACCACAGAGGTTGTTTTCTTTGTACTGAAGCTTTTTGAAACAAGGACTCAGAGTGGAGGATTAGACAAGCAATTGAACAGCTGGACCTAATAACTAATAAAGTGGCTTGGATTGGATATTTTTGTTTTAATTGTTGCATTTGCATATTTTCATTATTGGTCGTGGATTTCAGACAGATCAAGCACACCTACCCTAACACCCCCACATCCCCAAACATAGGAGGATCTGCGGTGGAAGTGGTCTACAGTCAAGCCCCCAGTATACTCTTGCGTACGTCCGTCGGAGGTATATACGTACATATGCAGAGGGTTCAGACTTCATACTCGAGCATCCACCCTGAACGGCTGCAGTCAGCTCCACGGACAAGGGGCGTTTACCTTCGGGACAAATTGAGGTCGCTGATAGGTCATTTGCTGACACGCCTACTGGATTGATTGACATGTTGGGAAAAAAAAAAAGAAAAAAAAAAGAAATGCGAGCTGGCAGCCCCAGCTGCAGCGGTGTTCTGTGTTTATATATTGTTAATAAAAAGTTCTAAAAAATAAGAAAAACAGGGAGCGCTGGCCCTGCAGCCCACACATCAGACCAGCCCACCAGGAAATCTCCAGACCCTCCCGCAGCCACACTGGACCTGATTTTAATTCACTTGTGACAAATTCCTTAATTTCTCAACATTTCAGTCATGGCATCAATGGAGGAGGAAGAGATCACTGCCTCTTGGCAAAAAACAAACAAAAGAAAAGGCCAGATCAGGGATGAAGAAGGGGAATTTAATGCATTGGTGTTGCATACAAAACAGTCTGTCGCCGGGCAGTTTATTATGCGAGTACGCCGTCATAAAAATGGAGCTTTGCGTGGACATGCCCTGCGGAGGTATGCACATACCTCCGCGTACGGACGTATGTGGGAGTATACTGGGGGCTTTACAAGTACTTGGGTGTACACCTGAACAACAACCTCAGCTGGAGCAACAACACCACCAGCCTGATGAAGAAAGATCATCAGAGACTCTACTTCCTCAGACAGCTGAGGCGAGCTGGTCTGGAAGCTCAGTCCTCACCTCCTTCTACAGGTGTGCAGTGGAGAGCATCCTGTGCTCCAGCATCAACGTGTGGCATGGAGGCTGCACAGCTGCAGAAAGAAAAGCTTTGCAGAGAGTGGTGAAGGCTGCACAGAAATCTGTTGGAGTCAGTCTCCCCACCATCACAGACATCTACACCTCCAGATGCAGGAAGAGGTCTACCTGCATCATGAAGGACCCCACTCACCCAGCACACACACTTTTTGCCCCACTCCCCTCAGGAAGGAGGTTAAGGAGCATTAAGTGTAGAACCACTAGACTGAGGAACAGCTTCTACCCTGAGGCTGTTAGACTCATGAATCTCTAACCAGAATAACCACTATAAAAAAGAAAAATCACTGTAATGCCACTTTAATTGGTGGCATGTGACTTATCTGTGCTGCTGATTATCCATGCTGCTGATCTCATGCTGATGATTATCTCATGCTACTGTATTCATTCATACCCATCTGCTCACACAGACTCATGTTCGGGCTGCGGATGTTATGCCGTATTGTTTAACATTATTATTGTTGGTGTATAGATCTTTTAGCGTATTGTTTAGCATTTGTTTAGTGCAGGGGTGCCCAACCTTTTTTGAACCAAGAGCTACTTTTGAAGTCGGCAATTTGCCGAGAGCTACTCGTCCAGTCTCATTATCAACAAACATAATTTTTCATCAATCCCTACTCCTCACTTCTTTAAAGTAAATAAAACAGAACGTGATGTGTCTATAGGAGACAACTTTTTATGCAAGCTGTATAAAATAAATGTGTCTCTACCTTAGTGGGACTTCTGACACTGAGAGGAGGAGGCCAGGGTCTCATAAGCTGGGCAGTATGAGGTGGTTGCGAGGCGCAGGCAGGTCTCCAGATGATCATCATTCATTGTGGATCTGTTTTTGGACTTGATGATTTTCATGTGTGAAAAAGCAGACTCACACAGGTAGGTAGATCCAAAAAGTGCTGTTAAGTTCAAAGCACATCTTCGGATGTTAGGATACTTTTCTTCTGACAGCAGACTCCAGAACTCTCCATCCACGCCAGGTGATGCTCTGGATTTGATCCCAATGTCATTTTGCAGACTCAACACCTCATTTTCAACACCAGAGCTGTCCAGCTGAAACACGGACACCAATTTGGACACAATGTCATCCACATCAACATTTCCAAAAGGATAACACATGTAGCTGGTAACAGGCTCGATGGAGGAAAAGTCAGTAAATCGTCTCTCAAATTCTGCTGAGATGCTCTGAACCTGCTTAGAATAGTGTGCACTGTCCAGTTGTGGGACTTCTTTCCCTTGGCGCTGCAGCTCTGCCTCCATGTGTGGGAAGTTTCGCAGGTCCCTGCGTTGCAGCCGACTTGTGAGCAGTTGCAGCCTGCTTTTGAAGGTGCTCACAGAACTGATCATGTGGATTATGTTTTTGTCCTTTCCCTGAAGCTCCAAATTCAGTTCATTGAGCAGGCTGGTGAGATCTGTGAGGAAGGCTAAATCCAAAAGCCACTGGGTGTCCTCTAGTTTTGAATGTTCACCATGATCTGACAGCTTCAGAAAATCCCTGATCTCAGGCAACAGCTCACTGAATCTGTCCAGAAATGTACCTCTGCTTAGCCACCTGACGTCCATGTGCAGCAGCAGGTCTGTGTGGTCTGCTCCTGCCTCCTCCAAGTGAGCCCGGAACAACCTCCTCTGCAGACTCCTGGCCCTTATAGAGCACACAGTTTTCATGGCAACATCCATCACTTCCTTCATGTTTAAAATCTTCCCACACAGGGCCTGTTGGTGGATGATGCAGTGATAGTGCAAAATGTCTGGGAAAGCATCATTCTGCTTGCAGAGTGCAACAAATCCACTGGTGTGACCAGTCATTGCTGGAGCGCCATCACTTGTTATAGAAATTAGTTTAATGAGGGGCAAGTTGCTTTTATTAACAAACTCCATAAACACATTAAAAATATCTTCTCCTCTTGTGTGTCCCTTCAAAGGCAAGATGGTGAGCAGCTCCTCTTTTGCACTCATGTCTGCAAAGGCCATTCTGATAAAAACACACAGCTGGGCTACATCCACCATGTCTGTCGACTCATCAAACTGAAGAGAGAAACACTCACATTGTTCCACGTCCTTTTTTAGCTGCTCCTCCACATCCACAGCCATTCCCTCACATCGCCGTGTCACTGTTTGTCTGGACAACTGCACGTCTTTAATAGCAGCTACGATCTCACTTTTATTTTTAAAATCATGAAAAAGCGCATCTGCAGCCTCAATAAACGCTTCTTTCATAACTTGGCCATCGCTGAAAGACTTCTTATGTTGAGCCAGGATGCGGCTAACACGGTAGGAAGCTATCGTAGCAGCTTTACCTTTTGTGCTGGGCCGAGTGAAGACTGATTGCTGGGCTGCAAGCTTGTTTTTTAGCTCCCGCACTTTCTGAGTCCGTAAAGAACTTTTAAGAGGGAAATCTGTCTCAAACCGTTGGTGCATCGTCTTGAAATGCCGCTCCAAGTTACACTTTTTGGGTAAGGCAACGCTCGAATTACAGATGAGGCAAATAGACTTCGAATTAGAATAAACAAAAAAATACTCCTCCTCCCACTCTGTGTGAAAATAATACGTTTTCGTTTGCTTGTTCGCTAGTTTTCCATCCATGTTTTCTGCGCACCGACATTACTCCACTACTGAGCCTAAAGTCTCGGGAGAGCGCTGTGTCACCGCACCCAAAACTCGCGAGACTATGTCTGTGAGAATACAAGTCAAGGCTTCGCTTCGCGGGCGACTGGGAACCAGCTGCGAGCGACTGGTTGGGCACACCTGGTTTAGTGCATATCTTACAGTATATCTTAGATCCTTATATACTGTTTCTTTTTACATTTTATATTTTGTTGCTAGTTTTGGATGTAACGGGTACCCTGAGTGCATAATTTTTTTCCACCTTATGTACCACATGTGATGTGAATGACAATAAAATTGATTTGAACTTGAACTTGAACTTGTTGTGATGTAAAAAAAAAAAAAACTTGTAACTGTTCAATGATTGAGTTCCAGTTGTTTCACAAACATATAAAAATACAAACACACAAGCACATTCAGAAACTGCAGGCTTTTCAGATGTTTTTTAGACAGGTCAGTTCAACACTTTTTTTGGTCAGTAATCACCCCATAAATCAGCTGTTATAGAACCAGCTTGTCACAGTGTGGAAGTTATTAAAGTTAACGGTCTGTGCTATCTGTGAGTTTTTTAAAGAAGTCTAAGGAAAAAAAATAGGAGGTGACTAAAAGAATGCATTTTCTATAAAAGAATATCTGCTTTCCATATAGATCAAGAACCATAATTATACATTCACTTCTCACCCTGACAGCTGAGTCCATAGAAACCCGGAGCGCAGGTGTCACAGTGGTCTCCGGTGAATCCTGGTTTACAGATGCAGGTTCGAGTTCGAGGGTCCGGCCTGCAGGAGTTATCCACTGTACCTGCTGCACTGCACTCACAGTCTGGGTACAGAAACAAATACAGTTAGTACATTTGAAAAGTCTTTTAACTTTTTTCTCTGTTAAAGTAATAAAGTTGTAACAAAGACTACCTGAGCACCTGCGTTTTTTATCTGAAAGAGTTGACCTTATTAATAGTAATGTAACCAAAAAACTGTCACCACACAATATAATACAACTTTATTTATAACGCACTTTAAAACAACACCGTTGGCCAAAGTGCTGTACACCAACACATACAAGCATAAAAACTATGAACTCAACAAACACCATAAAGTAATGAACTACCTAATCATAAAGCAGCAAACAGTAACAACAATAAAACAAATAACATAAAAACAGTAAAGCCAACATTTCAAGCTGCGTTAAAAGCCAAAGAGAAAAAAAAGAGTCTTCAGAGCAGATTTAAAAACAGGAAGTGAGTCAACTTGTCTGACGTGCAGAGGCAGCTCGTTCCACAGTTCAGGGGCAGCGACTGAGAACGCTCGGTCACCTCTCAGCCTCCTGTTGGACTTTGGGACAGCCAGCAGCAGCTGATCAGCTGACCTAAGAGAGCGTGAGGGATTGTACGGCTGGAGAAGGTCGGACAGGTACTGTGGGGCGAGACCATGAAGACATTTGAATACAAACAAAAGAACCTTAAAATTAATCCGGAAACGAACTGGGAGCCAGTGTTGTGATTTTAGGACAGGGGTGATGTGCTCTCGTTTTCTGGTGCCAGTTAAAAGACGAGCAGCAGCGTTCTGAACCAGCTGAAGTCGAGTCAGCAATGACTGGCTCAGACCCACATAAAGTGAATTCAGAATAAGAATGCCTTTATTGTCATTATACGAAGTACAATGAAATTAAGAGCCACTCTTTTTTTCAGTGCAAAAACACGCCTTACGAAAACACACACTAAAAATATTAAAAATGTAACGCAATATAGATATAATAATGAAAGTAAAAAAATACAAGTATTTCACAATTGTATTGCACATTATGGATATTAGTGAGGTAGTTAAGGTGACTGAGAGTATGAAATGTCAGTAGTGTTGCACAGTAGAAGTCCAGGTGTTTGGGAGGTTATATTATTAAATTAGTGCATGTGTGAGTTCAGTGTGGTGATGGCTTTTGGGAAAAAACTGTTCTTGAATCTGTTTGTTCTTGTTCTGATGCACCTGTAGCGTTTCCCTGAAGGTAACAAGTCAAACAGTTCAAAACCCGGGTGTGAACAGTCCTTGATTATGTTTTCTGCTCTGTTGAGGCAGCGTGATGTGTAAATGTCCATCAGGGAGGGGAGAGGGCAGCCAATTATCTTTTGTGCTGTCTTGAGTACTCTCTGAAGCCTCTCCCTGTCAGCCAGGGTGCAGCTGCCGTACCATACTGAGATACAGTACGTCAGCAGGCTCTCCATGGACGAGTGGTAGAAGATCAGCAGCAATTTTGTGTTCAGGTTGTGCTTCTTAAGGACTCTTAAGAAGTGTAGTCTCTGCTGAGCCTTCTTGATGACCGCTGTGGTGTTCTCTTTCCAGTTTAGGTCAGCAGAGATATGGACACCAAGAAATCTGAAAGTGTGAACCCTCTCCACGCACTCGCCATTGATGTAAAGGGGGGCTAGGTTGGTGCTGCGCTTCCTGAAATCAATAATCACCTCCTTGGTTTTTTTGATATTCAGAGCCAGATTTTTCTCTGAGCACCAGGTTGCTAGCTCCAGGACCTCCTGTCTGTAAAATGTCTCATCTCCCTTAGAGATTTGTCCGACCACTGTGGTGTCATCAGCGAACTTGATGATGAGGTTGTTGTTGTGGGCCGGGCTGCAGTCATGGGTGTAGAGACAGTACAGCAGGGGGCTCAGCACACAGCCCTGTGGGGAGCCAGTGCTCAGCATACGAGTGGAGGAGAGGTGGGGACCAAGTCTTACAGACTGGGGCCGATTGGTTAGGAAGTCTTTTATCCAGGCACATGTGAGTGGGGGGAGGCCGAGATTGTCCAATATATTTATAAGAATGTCCGGAATGATTGTGTTAAAGGCCGAGCTGTAATCCACAAAGACCATTCAAACGTAGCTATGCTGTTGTTCCAGGTGGCTCAGCGCGGTGTGGAGAGCTACTGCAATAGCATCCTCTGTGGACCTGTTGGTGCGATATGCAAACTGGTAGGGGTCAAAGTTCGGAGGGAGATAGTCCTTGATGTGCTGGAGAACCAGTCTCTCAAAGCACTTCATGATTACCGGACTGAGAGCCACCGGTCGGTAATCGTTCAGGCTGGTGATGGTAGGCGTTTTCAGCACTGGGATGATGGTTGCAGATTTTAAGCAGGGAGGGATGACAACCTGGGCCAGGGAGAGATTGAAAATTCTGGTGAAGGTGGGGGCGAGCTGGAGGGCACATGCTTTGAGCACCCTGCCAGGTACTCCATCTGGGCCAGTAGCTTTCCTGGGGTTCACTGATTGGAGGGAATGTCTAACATCATGCTCCTGTACAGTGAGTGGAGTGGTGCAGTAATCGGGTGGGTGTGGGAGCAGGGCAGGATCAGATGGGTGCTGCTGTGGTGCATCAAAGTGTGCAAAGAAGCAGTTTAGCTCCTCAGCTAGTGAATTGCAATAGTCCAGATGAGTTGTGATGAAATCATGGATTAAAATCTCAAAATGATGTTGTGACAGGAATGGCTTCACCTTGGCCAGTTGTCTCAGGTGATAAAAGCTGGACTTGACCACAGATTTAATCTGAGCATCCAGTTTAAAATCATTGTCCAACCATAGAAGGTTTTGATTCTGACTCTGACCTTGAGAATCCTCTCAACTGATTATTCTCAGTTCGATGTTTCTAATGTTATTTTGACAAATTAGCACCGTTGTTTTGAAATGTGATTAATGTGAATAACACACATCAAACATTTCTCTTGTTGTTGTTTTTTTACTGTAGGCCTAAGCTTTTTAATTTATTATATCTGAAATGTATGGGTGCATTCTGACACATCAGCAGTTGTGCGTACGCTCTGTAGAGCTGGCTGGAGATGCTCCTGTGTGTAACGTGAACTGTCCGCAGGGCATGCCGCTGAAGGTGTTGGACGAAGACACTTCATCCCCGCAGGACATGCTGTCCATGTCTCTGCTGGGCAGGAGTGTGTGCGTGAGCTGGTGCGCGTGCTGCAGTTGGAACATAGATTCCACAGACTGGGTCCGCCGGGCCAAGGACAACGTCTCCTCTCGTTGTATTTGTAATAAATAATCAAAATAAAAATGTACGATGACTTTGGACTTTTAGGGGCGGAGAACTGAGTTGCCGAATCCGAGTAAACAGTTGCCGAAATGCACCCAGTCAAAATGAGAGAGTTCCTGAATCTTGTTCCGGCAGGATCCAGCTCAAATTAAGCCCTGGGTCAGACTACAGAGCAGCGCTATTCAACACAACTGCTCAGGGGGCCACAGTTTCTGACATCCAACAATTGAAATCATTATGTAAGTAAACCAAGTATTACAATGATCTGTTACCTTTTAAATTTGTTTGTTTTATTGAATTGAATCATAAATGCAATAAACATAATATTTTATCTATTTTTTATTTTAATGAAGTCATTGGCGGGCAGGATTTAAGTCATTCACAGTCCAAAAATGGCCCGCTGGCCGCCTGTTGAGTAGCCCTGTAGAGCATGTTTAAACACACAAGTACAGATACTATTATGGATCTGATTAGCTGGACTTTCAACAAAATCGACAAAATCTTTTCAACAAAACGACAGGGTCCTGGAGAAGCCTCTTGCCCAGCTAAGACTCACGCTGTGCGGTACATCAGAGATCAGGTGATCTGTCTGATCTGCCATGACAAAGCTTCAGAGTTTGTCCTGATGCATGCTCAATAATCCAGGTAGAAAAATCTAAAAAAGTTAAATCTGGTCCTCTGGACATTCAAAAAAACAAAAAGCAAAACAACAAAAAAATGTAGAAACGTTTCGTCTCTCATCCGAGAGACTTCCTCAGTCTGAGGTGCTGTATTCAGCTCAGTCTCTTAAATAGCACCTTCTCAGAGTGGATCAACCAGTTTGCTGCTGACAACCAAAACCAGCTGATCACATGCTCAAGAAGGACCATCAGCCTAACAATGGATCATTAGCACCTGATGGCTGTTTACTATTCACAGAGGGCTGAGTGATACTAGCAATCACAGCCTTCTTGAGCATGTGATCAGCTGGTTCTGGTTGTCAGCAGCAAAACTGGTTGATCCACTCTGAGAAGGTGCTATTTAAGAGACTGAGCTGAATACAGCACCTCAGACTGAGGAAGTCTCTCGGATGAGAGACGAAACGTTTCTACATGTTTTTGTTGTGTTGCTTTGTTTTGTTTTATTGAATGTCCAGAGGACCAGATTTAACTTTTTTAGACTTCAGAGTTTGTGTTTGGTACATGCTATGAGGACTCAAAATCAGCTGATTAATGAGCTAAACCGTAAGATGGAGACAATTTGTGAGAATCACAGGCAACCTGCGGCTTCTAGGACTCGACATAATGTGGGATCGACCTTGAGGAGCCTCATAACACGGATCAGTGGAGTGGATTCCCATAAATTTGGCCATTTTGGACCAAGAAAGTTCTAGCAGGACTCAAGGCTGACAAGAAAAAAACAGCCTGCCTGAAGAAAATCAACAATTGTGGCTTATCTGAAACTGTTTGGCCTTGGATACGAGCCAATTATCAAATTTCTCCTGGGACACGGGTAACTAGGGACAAAAACTTTGTCTATCACCCCGCACCCCCACCCCCCGAACTTTTGTACAGGCTTAGAACTGCCAGCTGCAACAACAACATCAGAACTGTGGCCTGTCTGAAAGTGCTCATGGACAAATCTCAACGTCTTGACATCAAATGCACATGTAATCATGTTTTTGAATGTGCTGCTGGTATAGTTTTTTGATGTCTTGTCCTGATAGGACAAGATGTGAAGGGATCTTTTTTTGTAATACCACTATCTATGGCTATCTATGGCCATCTATAAATCAGGTCTCTCTTGTAAATGAGTCCTCGAGGCTCAATGGGATTTACCTGTCTAAATAAAGGTTGATTGATTGATCTATCCTTATGGTTCTTACTTGTTTTCTATCTAAAAGGATTCTGATAAAGAATAAGGGGCTGCGCATTTTAGCAGCAGCAACGTACACTCTGCCCATCTTGCGGACGTCTGTACAAATATAATCTCATTGTATTTCAGTACAATGATAATAAAGCTTATTCTGATTCTGATTTTAGTACAGTTATCGACAGTACACTGACATTACAGCCAAATATGACACTGTTTATAAAAAAAAGGGAACCTGCATCGACAAAAGCCTACTGTCTCTGTTTGACCAAGCTTTAATTGAAATGGTTAAATCTTTCTGCTTAGTGTCCTGGTTCGCAACCTTTCTCTTAAAAATAAGAACCACCTGAATCAGATTGTGAAGTGCTCTGGTGAGTTGACAGGAGAGATGACACTGAACCTAGAATCCCAGGACTCTAGGCAGGTACAGAGGACATGTGGATCCATTGAAAGGATGTCTCGTCTTCTGCACTGCAAGTTTTGGCCCCTTGTGTCAGGACACAGATAATTCATGACTAAATGTAAAACTAAAACCGGCTTTGTTGCTGTTACAATCAATCTCTTAAACATCTAATATAGTTTATTCTTTTATCTTTACCTTACCACATTTTATCATGTTTTATTGTGTTTTATCATGCCTCTACCTGTTGTCCCATTTTATCTTGTTTTGTTATATTTAAATCTTCAAGAAGCGAGTTTTACTTTATTTCTTTGAAAGCACAGAGCACATGTCCACGTTTTAATCATGTTGGGTCTGTTACATCTACATCTGTGTATGAAAAAGGAAGCTGACTCACGTCACGTGATCAAATCTACCTATGGCTAAAAATAAAGATGACTGATTGACTGTATCTGAATGAAAGCTGTGCTTCATCATCAAAACTTCTTTTGTTTTTCATCCTTGTTCTCAGTCTGTCAGTATAAAGTATAACGGCCAGTTTTAATCTGGTTTATAAAAACTCAGTGAAGCTGTTTTACGGCAAACTTACTAATGATCTCTCCAGCTGGTTTGGCCTCACCATTGTTGCTGGGGAGATAAGTGGGGATAGCTAGAGAAGAAACAAAAATGTCAGAAAATACAACACAAGGGGGAAAATGTTATCTTCGTGTTTTTACTTTCTAATCAAATCTTGGTCTAATTATTGAGTCCAATTTTGTTAATTTATTTTGTTATTGGGTTCATTTTAACACAAAACGAAGAACATAGGCTGCAGTCCTGGTGTTAGGACTACTATAACTCACGATAACACTCAGGGAAGCTGATGAACCCGCTGGCACACGAGTCACAGTTCTCTCCCATGTAGTTTGGTTTGCAGAAGCAGTGACCGGTCAGATCCTCACAGGTACCGTCTGTAAACTCTGACTGACAGTTACAAGCTGCAGAGACAGAGCAGACGATGGGAAGAGACAGAGAAAAAACATGACCAATGATGACCAAGAAGACAAAACTACAAGTAAAGAAATATAGATATGCTGAAATAGTCAGACAGCTGAATCTCACGTGAGCAGGCCAGCGGGGAGTCAATGGGGTGATCAGGTGACCTGTAGTAGGTGGGGATGCAGTGCTCACAATTCACACCTGTGGTGTGATGCTGCAAGAGAAAAATCTCATTAGATTTTATCTATACAACATTTATCTGCACTACCCACAAACACACATCTTTACACAAGTGTGGAATGGCAGATACCTGGCAGTTGAGGCAGACCCCTCCTCCTCTGTGGTGTCTGTGAAGGTCAAGGCTGGCTCGCCTCCGATCGACATCAGGATCATAGTAGCAGTCAAAAGAATGACGATGACAGTTGCATGCTAAAACATTTTAATAACAAGAAAGGGAGAGTAATGTTAGAAGTACATTCAAAATTCCTAATGCAGCAAATAAGCATCCATTACTATGCTTGTTCTAATGTCTCGTGAGGTTCCAATATCCATCCATCCATTTTCTTCCGCTTATCCGGGATCAGGTCGTGGGGGTAGCAGCCTAAGTAGGGAGGCCCAGACTTCCCTCTCCCCAGCCACTTGGTCCAGCTCCTCCAGGGGAATCCCGAGGCGTTCCCAGGCCAGCCAAGAAACATAGTCCCTCCAGCGTGTCCTGGGTCTTCCTCTGGGTCTCCTCCCGGTGGGATGTGTCCGGAACACCTCACCAGGGAGGCGTCCAGGAGGCATCCTAAACAGATGTCCGAGCCACCTCAACTAGCTCCTCTCGATGTGGAGAAGCAGCGGCTCTACTCTGAGTCCCTCCCGGATGACAGAGCTTCTCACCCTGTCTCTAAGGGAGAGCCCAGACACCCTGCAGAGAAAATTCATTTCGGCCGCTTGTATCCGAGATCTCGTTCTTTCGGTCACAACCCAAAGCTCATGACCATAGATGAGGGTGGGAACATAGAGTGATCGGTAAATTGAGAGCTTTGCCTTTTGACTCAGCTCTCTCCTCACCACGACAGACCTGTACAGCGCCCGCTTCACTGCAGACACTGCACCTATCCGCCTATCGATCTCACGCTCCATTTTTCCCTCATTCGTGAACAAGACCCAGAGATACTTGAGCTCCTCCACTTGGGACAGGACCTCCTCCCTGACCCGGAGAGGGCACTCTACCCTTTTCCGGCTCAAGACCATGGCCTCGGATTTGGAGGAACTGATCTTCATCCCTGCCGTGTCGCACTCGGCTGCGACCCGCTCCAGCGAAAGCTGTAGATCACGATCTGATGAAGACAATAGGACCACATCATCTGCAAAAAGCAGAGAAACAATCCTAAGGCCACCAAAACAGATCCCCTCAATACCTTAGCTGCACCTAGAAATTATGTCCATAAAAGTTATGAACAGAATCGGTGACAAAGGGCAACCTTGGCGGAGTCCACCTCTCACAAGGAACAAGCCCGACTTACTGCAGGTTCCAATATGATTGTGAGAATGATTGATTAATTAATTAATGTTCTCTTATTGTGTGGATTCATGTTAAATAAAAACTTCTGAAATGTACATAGTGCTGATTTTTAAGGAGGTGCAGGACAAGTCATGCCTCTGCTGGATCATACCCACTGGTTGATGTTTGGTACTAATTAAAAATTAATGCTTTAAATCCATGCACTCAATTTTTTCACACACACACGCACGCAGGCAGGCAGGCAGGCAGGCAGGCACGCACACACACACACACACACACACACACATATATATATATATATACAGTGCCTTGCGAAAGTATTCGGTCCCCTTGAACTTTTCAACCTTTTGCCACATTTCAGGCATCAAACATAAAGATATAAAGGTTTTTAATGACATCTTCATATCCACAGATACCAGTGATTCTGTGTTGCTTGTCCTGTTGGACCTCACAGCCGCCTTTGACACCATTGACCATGAGATCCTCATTGCTAGGCTGGAGCAGTGGGTGGGCATCACAGGGTCAGCCCTCAATTGGTTCAGATCTTACCTCACTGACAGATCCTTTTGTGTCTCCATCAAGGATTTTAGTTCTGCAGAGGCAGAGCTTAAATGGGGGGTTCCGCAGGGGTCCGTCCTGGGTCCTCTCCTAATCTCTTTAAACCTGCTGCTGCTTGGTGCTATTTTCCGGAAACACAACATACCCTTTCATTTCTACGCTGATGCTGTCAAATTTACTTCCCCCTAAGACACAATGGTACATGCTCTATTCAACCTCTGCTCAACTGCCTGGCTGACATCAGGGACTGGATGGCTTTAAATTTCTTAAGTTTCAATGAAAAGAAGTCTGAAGTCATGTTGTTCCCTCCCAACAACACGATCACAAACCACTGCATCGACCTCTCCGCTCTAACCCTGTCAGAAAAACAAAGAGTCACTAATCTGGGTGTGATAATGGACCCTTCCCTGAAACTTAACAATAATGTAAACATGATCGTTAAATCATGCTTCTTCCAACTGAGGCGGCTGTCTAAACTGAAGCCCATATTGTCCAAAAAGAACCTGGAGACAGTAATACATGCATTCATTACATCTAGGCTTGATTACTGCAATTCACTCCTGTTTGGTATCAGTCAGACCTCCATTGCACGACTACAACTGGTCCAGAATGCAGCAGCCCCATTTTTAACCAGTACAGGCAAAAGAGAGCACATTACACCAGTTTTGGCCTCACTGCACTGGTTACCGGTTCACTTTCGAATCCAGTTCAAAATACTCATGTATGTCTACAAAACGCTGAACAGTTTGCCCCCACCCCCCCACCCCCATCTCTCTGATCTGCTACAACCGTATGTCCCACCACGTTCCCTGAGGTCAGCAGACCAGTTGCTCCTCACAGTTCCAGGAACTCGTCTTAAGCGCAGAGGTGACAGGGCCTTCTCTGTAGCAGGACCAAGACTTTGGAACGAGTTACCTCTGCTTGTCAGACAGGCCCCCTCCCTCTCGGTTTTTAAGTCCCGTTTAAAAACTCACTACTATTCAGTAGCTTTCAACACCAGATGATCTGTGTTTTGATCCTGTATGCTCCACACTGGTTTGTCGTCATTGTCTGCATCGTTTTTATGTCTATATTCTGATTTACCTCATTTTGTATTTTACTTTGTGTGTTACCTGTTGTTCTGTCTGTACAGCACTTTGGTTGGCCTTGTAGCTGTTTTAAGTGCTCTATAAGTAAAATGGAATGGTATGGTGTAAAATTTAAATTTTTTGTGAAGAATCAACAACAAGTGAGACACAATCGTGAAGTGGAATGAAATTTATTGGATGTGTCAAACTTTTTTAACAAATAAAAAACTGAAAAGTGGGGCGTGCAGTATTATTGGGCCCCCTTGCGTTAATACTTTGTAGCTCCGCCTCTTGCTGCAGTTCCAGCTGCAAGTCTCTTGGGGTTTGTCTCTATCAGTTTTGAACATGGAGACACTGAAGTTCTGCCCATTCTTCCTGCAGAACAGCTGGAGCTCAGTGAGGTTGGATGGAGAGCGTTTGTGAACAGCAGTCTTCAGCTCTTTCCACAGATTCTCGATTGGATTCAGGTCTGGACTTTGTCTTGTTCATTCCAACACCTGGATACGTTTATTTGTGAACCATTCCATTGTAGATGTGTCTTTATGTTTTGGATCATTGTCTTGTTGGAAGATAAATCTCCGTCCCAGTCTCAGGTCTCTTGCAGACTCAAACAGGTTTTCTTCCAGAATGGTCCTGTATTTGGCCCCATCCATCTTCCCATCAATTCTGACCATCTTCCCTGTCCCTGCTGACAAAAAGCAGGCCCAAACCATGATGCTGCCACCACCATGTTTGACAGTGGGGATGGTGTGTTCAGGGTGATGAGCTGTGTTGCTTTTATGTCAAACATATCATTTTGCATTGTGACTGTGTCCACAAGCTGTGCGTGTGTGTGTGTGTGTGTGTGCGTGCGTGCGTGCGTGTGTGTGTGTGTGTGTGTGTGTGTTCAATACATGTCAATATATGGAATAAATGCATTCCACTTACGTTCACACTCATTGGCACTATAGGTTGTGGCAGGTTTCCATGGTAACTGGTGATATCCAGGACAACACTGATCACAAGACACACCGCAAGTGTTATGCTGACAGTCACACTGCAGTCTGTAAAAAACAAAGATGTAGTGACACTTTAAACAAAATTACATTTATACTGTGGGTGTAACATCACACAAAGACACTAAGTAAATAATGAAAACTGGTTTCAATGCAGCTGTTAGCTGCATTACCTCACAGGGACTCAGACCTGCAGTCTGTGGTGGTGAGTTTAAAACATTTGTTTTTGTCACTTCAAATATGGCTTTCATACTTTAATAAGGTTTTGTGAAAAACAGTCAAACAAAAATCATTGTTTGACATTTCTATTGTTGCTTAGCTCTGCAATAGCTGTTAGGGTACCTAGTTATTATTTATGCTAACTCTACAACATGATGTGATCATGAACAGAGAACATCAGTAACTCTCAAACTCAAGTCAGAAAACATGTCAGAGAATCAATATATTGACGTGATCTAATTAAAACATACAGAGAAACTTGTGAGCCTTTATCTATCAATTCAATTCAGTTTATTCATAGAGCTCCAAGTCACAGCAGCAGTCGACTCAGGGCACTGAACAGAAACATTCATCTATAAAATAATAACTGAACAGAAACATTCAAATATAAAATAATAATTGAACAGAAACATTCATCTATAAAATAATAATTGAACAGAAACATTCATCTATAAAATAATAATTGAACAGAAACATTCATGTATAAAATAATAATTGAACAGAAATATTCATCTATAAAATAATAATTGAACAGAAACATTCATGTATAAAATAATAATTGAACATTATTTATCTGAGGAGCAGCTTTGAGTTTAACTCCATCACTGAACTCTCATGTTGAACAAGCATGAAGGCGACAGTGGAAAGAAAAACTCCCTCATGAGGAAGAAACCTTTAGCAGAACCAGGATCAGGACAAGAGGACCATCTGCTTCCACCGGCTGGGTTTGGTAGGAATAGATACACAATGGCAGGTGAAGAATCACGTTAAGATAGAAATAGTATCAAATGAAAACGATTCAATTTTAACAATTCACTTGGGGAAATGAGGTCAGTTTGTCCTCTAGTAGTCTAAACTTATGGCAACATAACAAGCCGACCCTAACTATAGGATTTATCAAAAAGGAAAGTCTTAATCCCAGTCTTAAACTGGATAATGTGTCAGCCTCACGGACAGAAACTGGAAGTTGGTTCCACAAGAGAAGAGCCTGAGAACTGAAAGATCTTCCTCCCATTCTGCTGCTGGAAACTCTAGGAACCACAAGTAAACCTGCAGTCTGACAGTGAAGTGCTCTGTTAGGAAAATATGGAACAATAAGATCTGTAATATAAGATGGAGCTAGGTTGTTGAGAGCTTTGTAGGTTAGAAGTCAGATTTAGAATTCTATTCTGGATTTGACAGGGAGCCAATGGAGAGAAGTGTTAAGATATTTCCTATTTAGACTGGTCCTATGTTTTGATCTACTCAGAGACGGGATTATAATGAAATTATGACCCCGGTTCTGAATGGAGGGGGTTTCCGGATCCGGTGGCCTGCAACCAGCTCACGTCTTTAACATTAGCTAAAACTGGAGAGATATGATCTCTCCCAGTAACTCCAGTTAAGACTCTGGCAGCAGCATTTTGGATCAACTGAAGACGTTTTAAAGAAGTATTTGGACACCCAGATAATAAACCATTGCAATAGTCCAGTCTAGACGTGACAAATGCATGGAGCAGTTTTTCTGCATCATCTTTAGATCAGATGTTTCTAATGTTAGTGATATTACGCAGGTGGAAGAAGGAGGTTCTAGTAACGTTTTTAATGTGGGGGATAAAAGACATGTCCTGATCAAAAATAACACCAAGATTTTTAACATTAGAGCTGGAGGACAGATTATTATTAACATTTATTTAACCAGGAAAATCCCATTGAGATCACAGATCTCTTTTGCAAGGAAGGCCTGAGCCTGAAGGCAGCCTAACATGCATGTTTTTGGTCTGTGGGAGGAAACTGGAGTACCTGGAGAAAACCCAAGCAAGCACAAGAAGAACATGCAAACTCCACACAAAAATACCCCAGGTCCAACTGGGGTTTGAACCCAGGACCTTCTTGCTGTGAGGCAACAGTGCTAACCACTGAGCCGTTGTGCTGCCAATTAATTAAAATTATTGAGATCGAAGGAGGGCGAAAGACTGAAAAATTAATTCCTAAGATGCTCAGGTCCAAAAACTAAAACCTCAGTCTTGTCTGTGTTCAAAAGGAGAACATTTAGGGTCATCCTGGTTTTTATGTCTTTAAGACATGCTTGTAGTCTAAGTAGCTGATTGGATTCATTGGCTTTAATGGACAAATATAATTGTGTGTCATCAGCATAACAATAAAAATGTATCCCATGGTGTTTAATAACATCATCTAAAGGAAGCATACACAGGGTAAAGAGTATTTGTCCAAGCACTGAATCTAGCGGAACTCCATGACTAACTTTGGTGTATGATGAAGATTCATTATTTACATTAACAAACTGGAATCTATCAGATAGATATGATTTAAACCAATTCAGAGCTGTTCCTATAATTCCAACATCATATTCAAGTCTCTAATAGAATATTATGATCAACTGTATCAAATGCAGCACTGAGGTCTAACAGGACAAGTACAGACACCTATGCCCCTTTTCCACTGTCACGGCGCAGGTCGGATATTTCCGGCTTGACGCGTGTTTGAGGTCTTTCCACTGTTCCTGTGACCGGCTCGCCTCCCTAAATTCTGGCCCGGCTTCTCAAGGGGTCCAAGTGAGCCGCGCCGTGACGTCAGAAACACTGTCGGTCACTGATTGGTTGGGGGGAGGAGTCTGTGGAGTCTTTCCAAACAACCCGATCCGCCATTTTTTCTCTACGCTTACCATTAGCGATAACTGGAGGAGCGTATCTTTTAGTATTTTGAAGCTATACAACAACAATAATATCAAAGCCGTGGCCAAATGCAGAAGTGCAGGTGTTGTTGTGCTTGGTGGCAGAAGAAAAAAGTCAAAGCGAGCTAGATGGAGGATTGGAGGGTGGTTTGGACACAGTTACTGCTCTACTTGAATCATTTATAGAAGATGGTGAGTGTTTTCTAACTTTAAACATATTTTAAGTTACTCATCCCATCGGTTCTGAACGTTTTTAACTAACAAAAGACGCTGACGCCATAATAGTACAACGTCGGTGCTACGATGCTAAGCTAATTTGCAGAAACGCTAACTGTCCTCTGGTCCTGTTTCTCACTGTATTTTATCCAGAACGTATTTCAGCGCGTGAAGGTTCATCTCTAAACTCCACATTAAACCCTCCAAGCCTCCCGGCTCCTGCTCCATCAGAGGAGTCTGCACCTGACAGAGCTCCATCACAGCCCAGCTGCACCTCACAGAGCAGCACAACGCTGCAGCTTCTGTGCTCGGTAAGAACAGATGCAACATGTTCCACATCACTTTATTTGTGCCGATAAGGACTTGATTTATTTTATTTTTAAAGTAAAAAAAATAAAATGTTGAATAAATACTGAATTGGGATGAAATTTTGTACACAGGGTCCCAGTTACAGACAACAAAATGTAAAATAAAAACAGTAATAAAATCTAAGATATAAACTAAGAAAAATATCAACTAAAAAACATCTACTAATAAAACACTAAGAACTAATAGCAGTAAACAAACAAAACAATACGTCAAACAGCAACATGAACTAGAGTTTGTGCAGCCTCATTAATATCTAAACAGGATAATCATGTTGCTGCTGATCAGTTTCATGTTGCTGCTGATCTGTTTCATGTTGCTGCTGATCAGTTTCATGTTGCTACTGATCAGTTTTATGTTTCTGCTGATCTGTTTCATGTTTCTGCTGATCTGTTTCATGTTGCTGCTGATCAGTTTCATGTTGCTGCTGATCAGTTTCATGTTGCTGTGTTCATGCATGCTCATCTGTTCACACAGACTCATGTCCGTGCTGCTGTTCAGCGTATTGTGTTTAATGTTTTTATGCTATTAGAGCTTATCATATTTTTAGTTGATGTTTTTCTTAGTTCATATCTTAGATCTTATTACTGTTTTTCTTTTATATTTTATTGTTGGATGTAACTGGGACCCTGTGAACATAATTTTGATCCACCACATGGACCACATGAGGTGCAAATGACAATAAAGAATATCTGCATGTGTAGAATACTTTCTGATTCATATATCCACTGTTGTTATATTATTTTCATTATTTTTAAATCAATTTATTTTTCATTTTCTTATTTGATCAGTTTATTATTATTAATATATCTATTACAGCTGTTAGCAGCACCTTTCTTTGTTTCATGCATTTATTCAAAAACAGTATGTAGCTTGAATTAACCACCTGTTTCTTCTTTCTAGTGAAGAGAAAGAGAAAAGAGTCCAGTAAAGAAAAGTCTTATTTCATCACTGAATGAACATGAAGAACTGAAGCGGACACAGCAGGAACAACACTTGTGTCTTCTTCTGGATGAAGCCCGTGAGACAAGGGACACACAGATACACAATCATTAGTTGGACGCAGTAGCTTTTATTTTTCTACATTTTTCACTTCTTACTTTTCCTTTTAAACATTTTTTTCTTAAGTGGTGTCCTTGAACATTAAATTTCCTAAACAAATTTTACAATGTTAAGTTCATATAGTGTTTGTTTAAATTTATACTGGAAGTTGAGAAGAATTTCCAATTGCTTTTGATCTTTAATGAATCCTAAGAAAAGATTACTAGAATCTGCTCAACTGTTATTATGTTAACAACAAAGTCCATGCTCAATAATCCAGGTATACAATCCAACATTTTTCAGTCTGGTCATCTGGACAGTTTCTTTTTTTTTTTTTTTTGGTGCTGAAACGTTTCGCCTTCAATCCAGAAGGTTTCATCAGTCAACGAAACACACAACAAAACTGATTCTTCCTCCAACAGCTTACTCCAAAGTGGAATTCCAAAGTGTTATGTTATACATTTTTTGGTCCATCCATCCGTCCGTCCGTCCATCCATCCATCCATCCATCCATCCATCCATCCATCCATCC